CCTCGCTTTTGAAATCAAAATTTTTCACTTGAAATTTTCTTTGTGTAACCAAGGAGTTATAATTCCTTGGTGTAACCAACATTAAATGCATGTAATGGAACACATTTTAATGAAATTATTTTAATTAAACCAACTCTTCTTTATCATATTAGGGCCTACATATCACACGAGTACATAGGCTACTGGTCGTGTACTGGTAAGGCCTCGATGACCTATGGGAGAGGCTCCATAGGCCTATATACCAAAACGCTTTGCAGGTGGGTGCTGTTGCTATTTAGGCTACTAGGAGGAGACCTAGGCCTACATATGTAGACTACATGCACTTGAAGACCTGTCTGATCTATAAAATGTAGGCTCTACCTGGTTAAAAAAGTCAAAAACTGCAATATTTCAAACAGTATGTGGCGCGTATGTAGAAACAAGAGTTGTAATTCAATTTCTGTTTATCCTAGCCCGTGCAGCACGTTACTGGTGCGATGTGCGTCTGTCCTCCCGCGTCCTTGTCTAAGTGAGCCCAGATGTACTTATGACCGTGAACGCTGGAAGGTCAAGGTCATAGCAATGTTTTTAAATGCCGATGTTCATACATAGTTCACTAATTTCACGTTCGGTTGAATGGGTAGGTTGGATGCTTAGGAGGGTATAGAAATATCGGGCCGTGTCCGGGAATTTGTCTATTCAGGTAAGTTGTCTGTCGAGGTTCTATTCTTTTTGTTTATGTATTATGTAGCACTCGTTGTAGCCTAGCAGACGCTTCGTATTGACAGCGACGTTAGATAAATAGGGTAATGTGAAAGTAGCATCGACCTTAATACAAACCAGAAATATTTATTTCTGCATATCTATAGCTATTATACAAGCGTACAATTTTTTAGGAAAAAGAGTTATACATATTCTGTACATGTATATTGCTCAGTAGATCGTTATATTAGCCTATAGGCTAGGCCTACCCGAAGGACTGCCATTAAATTATTAAGCGGGTAGTCGAAAGCTTTTGTAAATATTGAGGTACATTAATTATTGTATATATATGTCGGTTAGGCCTACTGTGCCGTAGCGAGGTAGTTACGTCAGTCTTAGATTTATTTTGACCGATTTTGAAGACGTAGGCCTATATGTATGTAGGCCTACGCATATTAGATGCGACACTGCAGCCGACACTGCACCATAAGCGCTAAATGACATTGATTCTGAAACATAGGTAGATCGGATAGATATGTAATAGGCTACTAATAGATTCTAGTTAGGTTCAAAATAACCTAAAGTGCGTCATAGAGAAATAGCTTTGCGGTAATTATCTTTATTTGTTTATGACCTCTATGAATTCAGTACACTTACACTATATTCAGTCACCTTTTCCACAGACTGCTCCTGTTTGCGCGGTAGTAGGCCTAGGCTAGATGTGGTCAGCTGTACTGTTGGCACTGTTTATGAGGATTGGGCGAGCGTTGCGTTCAGATAGATAGTAAACATTAAACCGGTTGACGACTAGAAAACATATGAATAGGACCGGCCTGGTATAATTATTTGATACGTTTGAATAAATACATAAATAAATAAATAAATAAATAAATGATCAGATTAAAAACAACGGACTACATAGGTTTGTTGGGGTGGGGGTTAACTCAAAAGGCTATCCAACTAACGCGGATTACTTACGTAGGCCTAGTGGTTGATATCACAATAAGTCGCATATAGTTTTCATGCATTAGAAAGGAAATGTTTTACAGTGCACATAAGAAGAAGTAGGGACAAACAATTCTGCTTGTGTTGCCGTGGTATATGTATCTGCAACCGAAAGAATAATGATTTAACACACGACAGCGACTAACACGAAAATACATACATAGCCGGCATTACAACTCCTGTTTATGTTTTTGATATGTGCTGTTGGCACAGTAAACGTAAATAGGAGTTCTGTCGCATTAATTTTCGTGCTGGAAAACCGCAGTTTTCGTTTTATACGCGAAAAATGCAACCGTTAGGACCAGGAAGGAGATAGGCGAAGGCCAAATTCAAGCGCAAAAGAATAAAAAACGCATTGAAAACTGCAGTAGAATTGCATTTGACAGGAAACGCGTATGACACGATCATACCCCCAAGCTAGTATGATATAAATATGATTTAAAAAACGGAGCACGCGGCAGGTCAAACCAGCCGCTGACAATGCAGAGAATGTAACCACTGTTCCATTTCGGTCACCCCGCTTATCCTTATGCCTTATAATGTACAATACATTGTCACTGTATCTCACTAATCTCACCTTTTATTATAGGGAAATCATTCGACATTGCACTCGACCTTTTGAGGACAGACATTGTGCTAAGGACAAGGTATCAAAATCGCGAAATATTTTCCTTTTACGTCGTGGAACAGATTCACTGTTGAAGCCCCGATCTCGGTCAAAGCTATATTCAGATTAATAGGTGTTTGTATGATTACCTAGTCAAAGCGGTTTCTTAAAAAAAAACATGATGCATGAAATACGACATTAAAATTTCCCCATTTTTCAGATGATGAATTGACCATTTTTGCTATCTCAAAAATTAAATGCAAACTTGTTCATGTTTCTTTCAACTTGTAATTTTTCATAAATTTGTTTCCATCCAGTCGTTTTTCATTCATTCATTCATTCATTCATTCATTCATTAAAGAAACTACTTATATATTACTGTCATATAACTGTATAAATGTCAAAATTGCCACCTTATGATCTTGTTTATGTTGTCCCAAGAGTCGAACCTTAAAACAGCAATTCCACGTAAAGGTGTCCCCGCTTACATTGCGGTTAGGTGGGTTGGATCAATATCAGGACACTGTCAAAACCGGTCCTCGTGTACATGTGCCTCATTTGTGTTACTAGGACTACCATTCCTTTCACACCGGTGTTCTTTATGATTGAGTACAAAGTACAAAGTCCAACTAAACCACCATGAAAAAATCGGATTCGTTATCACGTTAAATAAGACAAATAACACCTTGTGTGAATTTCATGCTTGGCTGTGAGACGTGTGAGGCGAGGTCAGGTGTTTCCTCCTCACCTCCCCCCCCCCCCCCATGTAAATAGGAATTATTTATTATCAAGTGTGTTAAGGTTCAAACGGGACGCACAATGAATCAGTCTTGAGCAATAATACAGGGTGCAGTTCTATATTTGTTTCCCGATTATGAAATGATATATTATTACACCTTGTCCTAACCTTGGCATTCCTGTGTTTTTACCGTTTACCTCTTGATTAGGTATCCCGAGAACGGATTCGTGTCAAAATAAAACAGGTCGTCCTCTCCCACGTTTGGTGCGTATAGGATTGGTTAATGTGCATGCATAAGGGAGCGTTTTCATCTGTAAATAGAATATATGTATTCGGATTGTCTGAGCGCCGTCTCGCGTTTGCTGAATCAACCATGGTGTATAGAAATTGTTACGTCGCTTGATTAAGATGTTTTGTTGGTCGTGAAGCGGGTATCTTGTTACAGTTCTGTAGGTGGAAGGGGAACCCCCTCCCTCCCTTCTCTCTGTCTCTAATTTCTTTTCTGGATGGTCAGTCTTAATTCATACTTTTTTCAACAATTTTATTTCAGCCACGTTATTCATAAGTGCAAGAAGCAGGGGAGACGGGCTAAAAGTAACGCCTCCCCGTCGCTAATTATATCTTTTTTTTTTCTGAAATGATACCCCCCCCCCCCCCCAACGTACACTCGCGCGCGCGAGCACAAACACACACACACACACACAGATTTGCTTCCTGCGTTCCCAGTTTGTTCTGGATCTGGATGATGAGAAATTTTTATTTACTTTCCCTTCATTAATCTGATCAAAATAACCTATCACATCTGAAAAAAAGCCCGTAGAAGGAAGTTGAAGTTAAACTGAAAGGGACCCCCCCCCCGCTCCTCATATCAGTATCTCAGTATCTCAGTATCAGATTAGGCGGGGGTACACCTCAGACCTTAGACCCATGTGTATCATGCGACCCTGTCCAAGCTCAGATCAAGAGTCGCTGTGAAGACACCCTGAGAGTCAAAGGTCACTGATAATTCACCTCTCTACTACTGCTATCAGTATCTGGAAATGGCAGGTGCACGTTGATAAGTAGAGAGGTGGGTTTCCAATGTCCTATGAAGCTCAGGGTGGTCCAAAGGCCACGTTCGTCTCATCCACACTTCACAAGCCGATTGTTTACGTATGTTATCTGGTGTATCTGCCCAAGAAGTTATAAACTCATTATAACTTCTTGATCTGCCATTGTGGTCTTTGATAGCCCTGGATAACCTACATGTATGCTATGTATTAGGGCGCATTCCTTTTGAGACTATAGGCCTCCGTAGTTTCAGCGGGAATGAGCCCTTAAACACAGCCAGGGTGACCTTATTCAATCCGTCTGTACAGAAATGTGCACAGAATTAGCAAGAGAAATAATTTGTGAATATCTAATGAAAAAATATCTCCGTGGCCCTGGTAAAGGGTATATGATGACGGAGGAAAAGGGTGTCTGTAATGTTGCCAACCCTGACGTGTCATGTAGACCAATACATTCAAGGTTAAATGAGGATATTTGCATTCGTCTAAATGAAAATCCAGGGCCTCCAGGGCTCGATTTACTTGGACAGATTATGGCATAATGCTTTAACAACTTCAGTATCGATTGCAGGTATTAATGCTTTAACTAGGTAGAGCTGGTGTTTTTGGTGCCATTTACTTTCTAATGACAATCGGAATCAGGGAGTGGCAAATGAGTAGTGGACTGGAAGTGAAAGTAATGACACACAACTTTATAAATTGGTCATGCCGCATTTGTTTTGTCGGCGAGACAAATGCATTTTTCCCTTATCCTACCTGTGTGTATACGTGTTCGTCACTTTTATTTCAGTTGGAGGGTACAGTAGAAAAAAGTCAAATTTACACTGATTGCTCCCTAGAGACTTTTCTAACCAATATGCCAAGTGTCTATTCCGTCATATGATTTTCATATTATATTATATTCCTACCTGCATCAAATAGCGATCCATTAAAGCTCATGTACAATGACTGATTACATCTTAACACGCCATAATATAGGCGATTAATATTAATCACCTCATATTTGAAATATTCTGTTAGACATTCCAGTAGAGCTTGTAGTTATATTACACAATATCTTGCAAGCTTCATATTGACTGGATAGGCTTTTTCTTCACCTACATGTTGCCTGTGTGTGTGTGTGTAGAGTCCAAAAATGCACATTCATCACTCAATTTTAGCAGACATAAATTATGATATTTTTATGAGGGAAGCATGATTCTCTTAATGTATACAGTGCAAAATATATTTTGTTTGGCTGTTTGTTTGTTTTGCTTAAGATTGATGACAGTGACATCAGTAAGTTAATTGAAATACATCTGTTTTTTTATGTTTTGCAGGTAGGAGCCGAGAGTAACAACTGAGTGTCATGGCAGCCCTTCAGTTTTACGACGCTGTCATAAGCGGCAACCTGCGCAGCGTCATCGAGGTAGCTGCACGCCATAAATTCGACCTAAACGACTTCTTCCGAGACTTTCGTGAAAGGGACCACCAAGGAAAATGTCCCCTTCACGTGGCCGCGTTGAAAGGGTACAGGGACATGGTGCGGTATTTGATTGATTCTGGATGTGACGTCAACAAGCAGACGGCAACGTTACGTCGCACGCCGCTTCATTTTGCCGTCAATGGCCGCCGGATGGATTGCTTTCGCGCACTCATAGCAGCTAACGCAGAATTAAATTTGGTGGATACTTTTGGGTATCCGGCCCTCCATTATGCGGCAGAGCACGGGCTCACGGATATGCTTGACATTCTCATCTCGAAGGGTGCCGAGATAGATATTCAAGACATTACCATGAAAACGGCCCTTATGAAGGCCGTGCGTAGCCTGAAGACCCAGAGCGTGAAGAAATTGCTAAAGGCTGCATGTAAAGTAAACGTGCAGAACCAACATGGCGACACCGCCCTTCACTTTGCCTCCCGAATGGGTGCGTGCGAGATGATCCGACTGCTCATCGAAAGCGGTGCCGAGCCCAACGTCGAAAATAACTGGGGACAGACGCCGCTGATGGAGGCGGTGAATTACAACCGGAGCGAAGCCGTCAAAAGACTCGTGGACCTCGGATGTGACGTGAACACCAGGAATCAGAGCAAGGGAGAAATCGCTTTACACGCTGCAATGAGAAAGAACCACACGGCCATAGTGAGAATTCTCTTGGAAGCAGGATCCAGGGCTGACATCTTAAATCATCAAGGCGTATCTCCAGCCTTTGAAATCGCGGCTCACAATTACGTCGACACCCTTAAAGTTCTCATTAAGCTTAACTATGACTTAGACACCCCAGGACGTACGTCTGGCCCTGCTGGTCCGCTTCAGGTGACAGAGACGCTGTACCAAATCGCCAGCAGGGCCGGCCATCTTGAAATTTGCGGCCTTCTTGCTCAATACAACTGCGATTCCTTTTGGATACGAGACGGAAATGTGGCGCATGAACAGTACACTTCCGTTACAAAACCGATGTCCTGGCTAAACGTCAGTGGTCCGTTGCAATCCTGTTGCAGAAAATCTATCAGAAAGGTTCTTGGAAGAAACATTTTCACGAGTGTCAAAGAGTTGCCTCTTCCAAAATCCATACAGGACTTTGTATGTGCCGGAGAATTGTGTCTTGATTAGAGACTGTCTCAGCTATTGTACTACTCGGTAATCAGGATGTCTTTTTTATTTGATGCTGTATATGTGGGACGCTGGATAAGGGGGTTTGAGCAATAATCTCATCACAGTGTTACAAACTCTACTCGCTTCCGAGCATTCGTTATTTCAATTTTTGACCATAGTTAATCTTATTCTTCAATTATTATTATTATTATGTGATGATTCTTGTAACTTTTGGCAATTACTAAGATGCCGGAGTCATACCATGACTCTGAGGCGATTTTAGTGTTCATGAGATGGATAGCGTCTTTCTGATAATATGCGCACTACCAAGCAAGACTATTTTCTGCAGCTCTCGGACAGTTGGGCTTCCTGGTATTTGCTGAACCTGCCTATCCAGTCCTTTCTTGATAAGGCCCAGTGCTCCAACTACAACAGGTACTGTCGTTGTCTTCATACCCCACATTCTAGACACCTCAATTTCCAGATCTTTATATTTAGAGAGCTTCTCTACTTCCTTGATGGATACGTTTCGTTCAGATGGGACTGTCATGTCTGTCATATTATTATTATTATTATTATTATTATTATTATTATTATTGACAAAATAAGCAGTGGGTTCTGTCATTTGATAACCATCGGTATGATTTTTAAAGATCCATACAAACCACATCAAGGAGGATTTGGGAGATGCCCAATCTTTGTTTTTTATTAACCCCCTTTCCCTGCACACGAATCTGCCAATGAACATGATCGATCCTTAAAAATGCATAATCAGGATCGAATTATTTAAAATTAACTATAGTCAGCTGATTGACTGAAAACAAGAACTGCCTTCCATTTGGACTACCTCGGAACTTTACGGAAACGGCCGAGCATGTCTTGATTGGACGGAATTCCTCAGTCTTGGCTCGGTATAACTATTTCACTAATATCTGTATAGATCGTGCATTTTTCGTTGGTATTGTACATTACCTCTAAATCTGTACCATCTTACAATGTATACTGACACAGCTGTACGAGTATCGGCACGGGATGTTATTTTTTATACATTTGATTTTGTACATTTATTATTATTATTATTATTATTATTATTATTATCATTTGAACAGGTCACTTTTAAGCAGGAGAAAAAGGAAGGGGACGGGACAGCCTCCTTAGTGAACTTTTTAAAAAGAAGATGGAGGGATAGAGGATTATTTTGTCATTGTAAAATTCTGTCTAATTCAAAACCGATCATTTTTTTTTTTTTTTTTTTTTGATAACAATTTTTAATTTAAGTCGTGACGTGTTCAGGTAGGATTTAAGTATTTTTGCTTATTGTCTGTTTTGATGACCCTTGAAAACGGGTTTTGTGCGTTAGAAAAGTACATGTACTTGTCGTGGAATTCACGTATCAGCTGGCAATGATACGAATTTAAGTATATGGTTACTAGTATCTAGTAAGAAAAAGCACCAGAGAGACAGGCAGATATTATATACAATAAGGTTATAAAACCGACCAAAACCTAGCTGTATCAGTGTCTATCATAAGACCCTACTTAGAAAATGGACTAGCGTCCGTTTCTTAAATACCAAAATGCCAACAAATGGTGCTAAGACTGACCAAAGTTAATTTTGCAACTTGAAGAACAGGTACATGGGAGATTTGCTAAAATGAAAACAGACCATGCTGCCTTTTGGTATGGTTATATTTTACTATGTAAAATATATTTCTTAAAATTGTTATGCGAAATAAAAATTTGCACTAGCTAACAAGATGGTTTGATATACTGTTTCAGAAAATTATATACATTATCTTAAAAACATGCCCTTTAAATAGAATATTGGAAATACATGTACCTAAGGTACAAAGCCTGCTGCAATGTATAAATTTACTACCGTAAATCAACATTAAAACAGTTTATAAAACAATTCATCGTGCCTTTATACACAAAATGAATTGTATCCTTATTTACAGAATACACAGCGGTCTTGGAGTAAAAATAATTTATGTTGATGAGGCTCATTCACTGCAATTATTACGTAATTGATACGAGAGCCATCTACTGGGGATTTATCACGGTCTAATATCTGCCGCATGCATCAAAGATGATGGTGACGTTCCCATAAAACCGGTTACAAATACAAGTTGCCTTAATTACAGTTCAATCTGTTAGTCAACGGTAGTCAGTAAATTGTGTAGAAATATGTTAGACCAGGTATTATTTAACATTAGACTAAAACACTAAATCTACTTAAAACTGTATTTTAATACATTTAAAATTATATTTTACTTTAAAAACATTCCATCGGCACAAACAAGAAGCACCTTGCGCTTTTATATGACGTTTTTATGAGTTACCAAGCGTATTACAGCCGTCCGTGCATGGATTAATTTAGTCGATGACTGGGTCTTTGCACCACGCACTGCAGGTGCTACTGCATCTTATTAAGCTTCTTTTGAATGGCCATCAAACGTGCCAATAATTTAGGATTTTTTATTTTTGAAATGTCCACTTTGATCTGACTGATGGTAGGGTTTGTCTTGCCAGAGGCAGCTTTACCCTTGCCTCCTTTAGTATTGGGAGTTTGAAGAACCACAGTTTTAGCTGGCGCATTGTTTTCCTTCTCTCCCTTGGAGTTGGAAATTGGTTTCACAGAATTTTTAGGTTGTATGGTAATTTCCTTTCCCATTTTCAAGTTAGACGGTGCTGGAATTAAATTCTTAGTTTGGGGCATGGATTTCTTGCCAACCTCTGTGAGAGGCACCTTTTGCGTTTGTTTCCTTGAGTTAGCAGGCGGCAGTACACCCTTTTCTTCTTTCATGTGATACTCTTTGATCGATTCTTTTGCCACGAGCGGGATACTTCCCTTTTCCCCTTTACTATTCTGTGCTCCTTTAGCATTTGCAACTACTTTTCCTTTAATTAATTTGACGTTAACGTTGCCTTTAAGTGGCTGACCAATTTCATGCGACTTTAAACCCGACTTTGCAGAGGTTGATATCACTGGCTTCTTGGCGACATTCTGTGCCCCTTTACCATTTTGAATTGCTTGACCCTTGATCAATTTGACATTGGCGTTGCCTTTGAGTGGTTTACCGATAACTCTTGAATTTAAACCCGACTTTGTAGAGGTTGATATCGCGGACTTCTGGGCGACATTCTGTGCTCCTTTAATATTCGCAACTGGTTGACCCCTAATCAATTTAACATTGACGTTGCCTTTGAGTGGTCCACCGATAACTCTTGGTTTTAAAGCCAACCTTGCAGGAGTCGAAATCACTGGTTTCTGGGCGACATTCTGTGCTCCTTTGGTTTTTGCAAATGCCTGTCCTAACGTTTTCGAAGTTGGTGCCACAACGAAACTTTGCTTTTGTTGAATATTCTTTTTCGGTGTACCTGTGGTGACACCTATGCGTGGGTTAGCAACAATCGCGCCAACTGATTTATTCGGAATAATTGGCACAGGAGATGTTACCTTCGACATTTTGACTTTTTGCACACTTGCAGTAACCTTCATTCTCTGAATCTGTAATTTCGGTGCTGCAGGCTTAACTGTGCTAGAAACCGCGGGCTTCTGCCCACTCTTCAAATTACCCATATATGGCGCCAATGTCAGACGTCCCTTCTTCTTCTTATCTGCTAACAAACGAGCCGCCAACTTCGGGTTTATGCGGACTCTATTGGTGGATAGTTTTTTGGGAATCTCATGCTTGCTGGATTTAGTGGGCTGTGCGATTTTGGGGGGAGGGAGGCCTACTTTTTTGTTTTGCGCCGGAGCTCGCGGAGGAAGTGGTGGTCTTTGTTTACCTTTTTTCTGATGGAATAACGAAGTGTCGTGAATATGGTTTGATCCTACCTTAGGTATGGGAGCAAAGTTTATCTTCGGGGATTTGATCACGTAATTCGGGTGAGGTCCCATATTCTCTCCAGATGGTGATTTGGATCGCTTCGGAAGAACAGGTTTTTTTAGAACAAGCTTTTGGTACAGGTAGCTGTCCTCGGCTTTCGTGTTTGTTTTTGCACTGTTCCAAAGCGGCAACTTCACTTTTCCATCGTATTGCGAACCTAGTGGGTCAAATTCATCGTGGAATATCAAAATGGAGAAGCCTATCACCATGGAGACCGCTGCCAAGAGGATGATCAGTTTTCTGGGATTTCGAAAGCAGCATTTCAGCAACATTATCATATGTTCCATTGTTCTTCTACAGTCGATTAAAATAGTGACTATCACGTTGCCTGTCGATAGATTCCTGTTGGTGTCAGAATAGCATTTGCTCCAATAGGGGAATTTTTCTCAATTTCAGATGCGCAGCTTCATTCGTTGGTTATAAACGAGTTTTCTTGCACTAAAGGTCTCTTTTCTACGTGATATATTTAAACTGTGAAATGAATCATGTGCTCCGACATATGTTCGATAAATCCTTCGTGGGAATTTCACTTATTTAAAAGTGAAAAAAAATTGTCATAGTTTTCAACGTCCTGTTATTTTCACCCCCTTCGCTGTCTTTTTCTTTAGTTCATAGTGTAAAAAGTCTAGTAAACCTGGAAGAAGCAGCTATGTCACCTGTAAGATATCTTACCAACCAACAGCTGTGGTGTTTATGTGTCGTGATACAACGTTTTTATCTAGGTTGAATATTTATATGAAAATAGCAGTCCACATCGCATTATTGAGAACAGAGAACTCTTTCAACACGGATAAGACGCAGTTTGCGTGCGTGTACCAATAGACCCGTTTGAAGTTGACAATTTTGGATGGCGTGTACGGAAACATAGGTTGCTGTTTGTGCATAGAGTGCATTGGATTTGGTTTATTTAAATGAACCTTGTATGCTTTTAAATATTGCATGTGTCTTATTGCATGTAAGATGCACTTATATGTATAATGCAATGGGGATTTATTACCGCTTAATTATGCTTCATTGTAGTTTAGATAATATTATACTGGGTACAGTCATTTGGCTGGTAGATTATTTTGAAAGTATGCATCATAACAATCGTCGTTACTGTGTGCATCTCTTACATTTATTCTTTTACTGGCTTACCGGTTAACGTGAAAACAGTAGCTTAAATGTATGACGGCACTTTGTTTAAAACATAAGTTAATATTTTCTTCTCTCATACTCTCAACTGAAAACGGCAATCAATCTGTGGACCACAGCGAGAGACACTGCTAACACTGTTTCTTATATTATATGCTTACCAACACACGTACAGAATA